CTCTGCCAGGAGCCCTGCAGCAGCTATGCTGGCATGGCAAAGCCCCCCCTAGACACACAGCAACAGTGGGGATGGTGGCAGCAGTGCAGAGTTGTGCCCCTTGCTGCTGCTGAGCAGGCAGGGGGAACCTCATCATGGCAGTACAGCCAACACAGGACTCCTGGGGGGGAGGGCAGCCGGGCAGGGAGCCCTGAGTAGGCAGCCTGCATCCTCTCCCATCCCCATGGACTCTGCTCAGCTCTGTTCTGGCCATGCCGCCGGAGGGGAGGGGCACAGGGGAGATAGGCATGTGTCCCACCTTTCCATTTTCAAAAGGTGGTCACCCTGGCTACACCCCCTCTCCCTGCACGACTGGTTCAGGGCCAGGCCATGCCCCCTCCCCCTCACCATCCATCCAGCCTCTGGGACAAAACAGCTGGGTAGCACTGCCATAAAGCAATGATTCCCAACAAGGTTGCTAGGCACCCTGGGGTGCCATGAGATCCTTGAAGCCTGCCGCAGGAAATGTGAAGCTATAGGTGACTTGTGGGGACATAAGCATATGAGAGCAGACTCATGCTCTTCCCTGCCCAGCTGCTCCCCCACCTCCACTTTCTGGCCCCTCTGCAAGGAGGTAAGTTCTGTAATAAATACATTCGTTTTTTAAATGGGGTGCTGCTCAATTCAGAAAAGTTTTGGAGGTGTGCCTGGAGTCTAATAAGGGATTCCTTGAGTCTAATGAGGATTGTACTGAGTCTAAAAAAGGTTGCGAACTACTGCAATAAAGTAATAACATATATTCGAAATGGGCTACAACTAGAATGTTCACCAGGCAGAGCAACTGTATTTGCAAAAATCCAGTGGAACAGAGAAAAACAGTGAAAACTAGATCCTGATACTATTATTCAATACTAAAAAGTACATCCTAGGAAAGTCAACAAGAACACTTTAAGATGCTACTTAAGATTATGGAATTTGGCCATGATGTATTAAACTCCAGTCAGTACTACTTATTTCTTTTTATAGCAGGGAGGTGAAAAATGTTCTGTCTTTATTATTTTAATTCAGCTCCTTGGGACCTTAGTACATTCTCAGGGTATCTCTGATTTTGTTACTATTACCAGTTCATAGAATCATAGAAAATGAGGGTTGGATGGGACCTCAGAAGGTCTAATTTAACCTCCTGCTCGGAGCAGGACCATCCCCATCTAAATCATCCCAGCCAAGGCTTTGTCTAGCTGGGACTTAAAAACCTCCAAAGATGGAGAGTCCATAACCTCTCTGGGTAACTTGTTTCAGTGTTTTACTACTCTCCTAGTGAGAAAAATCTTCCTAATATCTAACCTAAACTTTCCTTGCTGCAACTTGAGACCACTGCTCCTTGTTCTGTCATCTGCCACCACTGACAACCGTCCAGCTCCATCCTCTTTAAAACCCCCTTTCAGGTAGCTGAAGGCTGCTATTAAATCCCCGCTCAGTCTTCTCTTCTCAAGACTAAATAAGCCAAGTTCTCTCAACTTCTCCTCACAAGTCATGTGCCCCAGCCGCCCCCCGCCCTCCACTCCACTCTCTCCAATTTGTCCACATCCTTTCTGTTGTGGGGGCCCAAAACCTGAACACAGAACTCCAGACATGGCCTCGCCAGTGTCAAACAGAGGGGAAAAATCACTTTTCTTGATCTGCTGGCAACGCTTACACTAATACAGCCCAATATACCATTAGCCTTCTTCACAACAAGGCCACACTGCTGTCTCATATTCATCTTTTTGTCCACTGTAACCCTCAGGTCCTTTTCTGCAGGGCTGCTGCCCAGCCAGTCATCCCCCAGCCCGTACTGATGCATGGGACTCTTCCGCCCTAAGTGCAGGACTTTGCAGGTGTTCTTAGAGTTGTACCTAATAAGTTGGTTCAATTACTTTTTTATAACTTTCAAATTTGTTAGACAAGTCTTTCAGAATCTTATCCCTGAACGCAAATAGAATTTTTTCTCCATGTAGTAGTAATAATCAGGGTGTCCTCTGAGTTTTGACAAATGTGATGTGCATTTTTAATACAACCAGTTTAACCAAACACATCATTAAGTTTTTCTAGCATGCTGTTTTCTCTGGATCATGAAACTTCATTATGTCTGATCCATCTAAATTTCCAGAATATTTATGATCCTTTTAAAAAACTGCTGAGTACCCTAGGTCCTATGGAAACTAATGAAAGGCGTGAACAGTCAGCACCTGTCAGAACAATGCTATTGGTCGCTCAGAGAGAACAAGTATCCCACTATATCTCACTTTGGTCACATTTTTTAAATCTTAGTAGGGCTTAAGCATTGCATGGAACTTGTGCTGACCCCTTGGCAAAAGGAGAAATTCCAACCAGTACATATATTTTACAATAAGTACCCCCACCTATCCAGCTGTATCACATTCAGGAAGTAAACATGCTGAGTTCTTCTTTTTCATGGAACATTTCTCTCTCACAGATGGTAACAGATGGTTATCACCCACTGGAAGTTCAGTGTCAATCAGAGTTTGGCCCAGTGGTGCATGAAATCACAGATAGGGAAACTGCAGAGATCCTGAGATCCTTGTGCCCCTACACAGAGGCTTCCTTTAGTCATGGGGACCTGGTGACCATCTATAAACTGACTAGGGGGGACCAGAAGGGTTTGGGGGAGACCTTGTTTCCCCTAGTGCCCCCCGGGATAACAAGGAATAACGGCCACAAGTTGTTGGAGCGTAGGTTTAGATTAGACATCCGTAAGAACTACTTCACTGTCAGGGCGGCTAGGATCTGGAACCAACTTCCAAGGGAAGTGGTGCTGGCTCCTACCCTGGGGGTCTTTAAGAAGAGGCTTGATGGCTACCTGGCTGGGGTCATTTGAGCCCAGTTTTCCTCCTGCCCAGGCAGGGGGTCATATTTGAAGATCTACAAGGTCCCTTCCGGCCCTACTTCTATGATTCTATGTTAGGTGGAAACACAGTCCGTGTTCAGTGCCTGAAAGAGGCAGAAAGCAAGCTCATGGCTCCACCTGAGCTCTGCACAAGAGGACAAGGTTGGTGGACAAGATTTGTATTAATTAGTGATGTCTATTATAATGTTGTATATATGTGACTGAATCTGCATCTCCTCACCCTTCCTACCTCACTTTCTTCTTAGACTCTAAACTCATAATCCCCTAGCACTTGTTTGCAAAGCACCTAACACTGTGGGGCATCTGGTTGCTACTATGACATGAGCAATGAGGGAATATTGATGTTTATTGCTTTTCAAAAGAAATCTGAGGCAATTTGTGTTATGGAAGGATAAGCGATTTTAGGAGGGGTATTTCTCGCAGTTTCTCTCCCGATTGTAAGTAATTTTATGTATGAAAACTCATAAGGACCCCTCATTTTCTAAAGAAATGTTCTTAAACATCTTTCTTCTTTTTTTGGACCTGAGGATGATATGACAGGACACTTATATTGGAAACTTGGTCTTGAAATTCACCCCTTTTGGGAGGAGTTGCCGAAGAGAAAGGGTAACCGCATGAAAAAGCAATAGACACCAACGCAGACAGGTTTTCATTAAAGAGGAAAGACTCCCAGCCTTTCCTTCCAAACAATAAAGACCTGATTAGACAGTCAAGATGCCCAGGCA